ACTGGCTGCCTCCAGCACACCCCCTACTGAGGAACAAGCCTGCAACCCGGGCATGTGCCTTGACTGGGCATAGAACCAGTGACCTCTTGTTTCCTGGGTCAATGCTCACCCACTGAGCCACACTGGCTGGGCAAGACTCAGCTCTTGGAACCACATATCACTGTATTTCTATTTACTGATTTTAGAGGGAGAGAGGGAGGGAGGGAGGGGAGAACAGAGAGGAACATCGATTTCTTGTTCCACTTATGTATGCATTCATTGGTTGCTTCTTGTATGCGCCCTGACCCGAGACTGAACTTGTAACCTTGGCGGATGGGGATGACGGTCTAACCAACAGGGCGGTTGGTAGGGCGATTCTTGAAGCAGCAACACCCATAGAACCCCTTCCCAAGTAAGACACAGTGATGCAACCGCAGAGGGGCGTGTGTGTGTGTGGAGGAGGGCGGGCGGCCTGGGCGGCTTCTCATTAGGACGGAGAGTTGCTGGCACCTCTGGGCCCCTCTCTTGTGATACCGATACTGCCTGGCCTGTGTGTCTCATGGGCGTGCTGAGTGCTGTTCGTTTGGGTGGGGAAAGATATTGCCACGTCAGAGCCTTCTTGACTTTTTAAAAGCGGGGCTGGCACTGAGAGCTTGCTGGTTTGCCAAACGACAGCTGTTTGCCCCCCAGGAGGGCGTTGCTTTCATGGGACGAGGACGCCAGGGAACGGATGCCACCTTCTAGAGGGGGCCTCCCGGGCTGCCCCCTTGCCTTCCCCGTGGGGCTGCGGAGGGTGGCAGGCAGGGCGCCAGGTATGTTTGTTTACATTCTAATTTCAAGGAATTTGTGGTTCCGTTTCAGTCTAAACGGAGGGTCTCTGCCCGCTGCCTTTTCTCCCGGCCCTGACCACTCTCACCGTTGTCGCTGCTGTGTGTCCCTCCCCAGATTTCTATTTTATTATTATCTGAAACATAGAAACGGAAGGCCAGGCAATACCTCCCATATTCCTGGAAGAATCTTAGAAAAAAAGTATCTTCAAGACATTGGCTTGACAAAGAACCAAAGCATCTCAAAACTTCTTTTTCCTCCCCCTTTTTTTTTCCTGGTTTCTCTGAGGAAAGCAAACAGGAAAATCTCACAGGGGTGATTTGTTCTCTTCTCTGCCTCCAGTCCCCTCCCCGCCGCCCCCGGCCCCCCAGCAGGAAGCGATCCTTTCCCTCCACACCAGACCCTGGAAAAGGCTCAGGAAGGAGGTCTTTGTAGGTCTCCCGGCCACAATTCCCAAGGCCAGGGAGCCAGGGAACTCGGTGCTGCCATCTGGTGGCGCATCTCTGACACAGCAAGCTGCTCGCCAGATCCTGTTTGAACTTGGCTGTGGCGGGAGCTGTGGTTTGGCGCGCATCCTTACGGAGCTTTGTTGCCAGCCGTGTAGGTTTTTTCCCTTTTCACTCCCGATGCCCCCGTTCATTTCTGTATGTTGGCACTTAATTTCATGTGTCTCCAGAGGCTGCATTTGGGGTTTTGGTATATTTGGTCTTTGAGAAAGGAGACACCAATGCCAACGGATGCCTTTGACAAGGGGTAGGTCACAGGCTGGGCGGCCCTGGAAAGGGTTGGGCTCAGGGAGACAGAGGCTGTGAGTGAAACACGCGATGAGGTCTAGTGCCCGTAATCACGGGCGAGGTCGGTGTTTCAGAGCGTGGTGACATGTGCCTCCGTACCGATGTGCCACCCTTTCTGTTGCTTAGATTTGGGGAGGCTCAAACTCAAGCTGGGATCTTGAGGGAAATTTGTTTGAGGATGCCAGTCTGGCTTCCAGAGGTGTGATTTGCCCAGAGACTTGTCCGTATCCAAAATGGCACACCCCCCTCGTTGCCAGGAGGTGGCCAGTGTTTGCAGACCTCCCCGTGGTTGGTGGTGACCCGGCCCCTGGGAGTTCCTCTGCGCTTGTTGGGGAGCTTAGGGCGCACCTGTGGGACTGCGGAGGCGGTGCCAGTCTCCCCTGGAGCCTCGGGGCCCCGCATTGTTTTATCTGCTGTGCATCCTGCACACCTGGAGGCAGCCACGTGTGACCTTTCAGTGCATGCCTTTGGAGTCAGACACAGGTCTGTGTGTGACCCAGGGGAGCTCCTTAACCTGGGTTCTTCATCTGTAAAATGGGGACCATGAGGAGCTTTTGGTGACATAATGTATATAAAATTCTTAGCACAGAGCCTGGTCTGGAAAGGTGTTTGGTAAGTGTGAGCCGGTATCCAGGAACCGAATGAGTTGTGACCTTGAATCAGAGCAGAGGACACCTGGTCCCGTGGGGATGAGGCGGCCAGTGGAAGAGGCCTCCGAGGTCTGGCTTTGTGGGTGTAGCTCCTCACCAGAGCCGCTGGTTGACGACCAGTGCTTTTGTTTTTTGGTAAATCAGGAAAAGTGAAGTGAGGGGGCCTGGTTGACCTGTGCTTGAATGTCCTCTGTTGCTGCTGCGCCCACTCAGGGGTTGGGGGCGTCGGCCTCTCCCCAGGGGCCCGTGCAGCTTTTCCTTCTTTCTCGGAGGGCCTGGGGCTGTGAGCAGGTGCTCCATGTCCACGCTGACCAGACGCCAGGGGGATGATCCGAGATGGCAGCTCCGGACCCACGTGACCTTTGGTAGAATGTAAAAAAGCTCCAAGGGTTCGGAGAAGGAAGGAAGAAAACTCCCACTAACAGATAAGGTTTAGGTTTGTTCCCTGTGTGTGTGGACAAAAAAAAATTCCAGATGTGACTCTACAAGCCATCTGGTTGGAATAACTTTTGTGCGGGGCTGTAATTACAAGCTATTTACTCTGAAGCTGGGGATCCTGTTATGGATCTTGACTGGCTCCCAGGTTTCTAACTGAGCGCAGAGTTCCTGTACTTAGGAGCGTGCATTCTATGTATCAAACCCCACGTGGAGACTCCGTACCCACTCTGACGCCCTCGGAGCCTGAGTCTTCCCTTTGGAGAGGAGATGCCCTGGAGGTGGTCCTTCCCTAAGGCTGAGCCAGCTTGCGGGGGTGGGGGGGGCGGTGTAAGGGGGTGAGACGGGGGAGGGTGACAGGCTGTTCTTGGGAAGGGGATTGGGGATCGAGCCCATAGCCAGGGCCCTGACTCGGAATCAAACCATGACCTCCTGGTTCATAGGTTGATGCTCAACTACTGAGCCACGCTGGCCGGGCCTATTCCATTTTTTACTAGTAAATATGCTTCTTTAATGGCCATTGTGGCCGTAACTATATTACATTTGTAATATAAAGAGAATTATGCCGTGAGCTGAAGGGCTGTGACTCACAGTGTCTCCCTGCCACCATCTCTGCCTGCCCCGCCACAGGAACGCTCTGTGGCCCTGGCTGCCCCTTGGAATGACCTGGGAGCTTGGAGACCCTTCTAGGCCTGGTCCTCAGAGACCTCAGACCTGAGCTGCAGGGTGGGAGGCAGAGCCGGGCGTGGTAGGAGCTGCCCGGGTTCTGAGTTGGAGCCTTGTGTGGGGACCATTGCCTCACAGGCTTTCAGGAATTAATGAGGACCCTGACCACATAACAGACACCCGGGGAGAGGGGGGAGGAACTGGATTACACAGGCCAACCACCAAAATCAGACGCCGGCAGCTACTAAATAAAAACCCCAAAGGTCTCCACGCCAGCCCGCGGAGTGGGTGCGGGTGGCTGAGGACAGACACCTCCCTGGGCCAGGCAGGCCCTGAGGTGGCCTCACCAGCGTGTTTACCGCGTTGGCCTCAGGTCCTGACCTGAGATGCTGGTGAGATGCTGTGTCGTCCGGTGGGAGAGGCGGAGCAGCATTCTTCCCTGGTGGCTCCTGGTTCCCAGCTTCATGGCCGTGCGGAGGGAAGCAGCAGCCTGGAGCAACAGCTGTTGGGATGGGAGGCCCCAGGCTCCATACCCTCCCGCTGGGGGGAGCTGAGTTCTGGGGGAGTGGGGTTCTGAAGGAGGGTTCTGGGGGGAGTGGGGTTCTGAAGGAGTGGGGTTCTAGGGGAGTGGGGTTCTGAGAGGAGTAGGGTTCTGGGGGGAAGGGAGTTCTGGGGGGAGGGATGTTCTGGAAGGAGTGAGGTTCTGGGAAGAGTGGGTTCTGGAACGCTCAGTGGTTCTGATCACTGGAAGGGGAAGGGCTGACAACCTGGATTCATTCCAGAATTAGACCCTGGGAGCATCTTGGGGGCTGGTGAGTTCCTAAGGACTTGAACGAGAATGAAAGCCACGGCCCCTAGCAGTTAGCGGACACTGTTAACAAAGCCCAAACTCTGCTGAGTTCTGGGACCGGTCATTTCAGTTCCTGTGCATTCAGCCCACAAACAGGCACGTGCCTCCCCTCCGCATGGTCTCCTCCAAGAAGCTTTACCAGCTGACCTCTCAGGGCAAAGCCCGGGTGCCCGTGCCGCCTCCTCCCTTAGCCGCGCTAATGGGCCGCGGCTGCCCCTGGCTGGGCTGTGACACTGCGCACTGTGTCCTGCTTGGCCTGGGAGTATGCCCTTCCCTCTTCCCGAGCCCAGTCAGCCCTCCGCCTTCCTTGGCATTATTTGAGTTGGAACTGCAGGTCGCTGCATTTTAATGCACTCGACTCTGAAGGGTTGTTGGACGGCCCTGTGCAAATATTTTTGTTCTCACGATGCAGTCCTGGCCCAGGTAGCCCAATGGGCAAAATATGATTTGCGCAAATATTATGGTTTCTGTGGTGACGCTGAGCGGAGCCCCGAGAGTGGGGCGGAGGAGGCCTCTCTCTCCGTGGGGGATCGGGTGTCCCGGGGATCGGGTGTCCCGGTGAAGCTGGCTTGTCAGGAAGGGCCTCTCCAGGCCCTGGGTCTGCCCTTGATCTGAAAAAGCCGTGCGTTCCCGGATGAGGACTTCTGCTCCGGAGAGAGCATCACCCCGCTGCTCTCACGGAGCTTTCCTGCCAAGAGGCAGGCGAGCGGGGGAGGGAGCGGGGAGAACCCCGCATGGGCTGGGATTCGGGGCTTCTGCTTGAAGTTGATGTCGAATTTCTCTTGTCTCTTTGCCCAGAACAAGGAAGTGACCTGCAAGCGGGAGAAGTGCCCGGTGCTGTCCCGGGACTGCGCCCTCGCCGTCAAGCAGAGGGGAGCCTGCTGCGAGCGCTGCAAAGGTGACGGCTGCTGGCGGGGCCTTCTCTTGCCTCCCCTTTTATTCCTCTTTCTCTCCCCTTCCTCTCTCTCCCCTTCCTCTTCGCTCAGCCCTTGGCTGGGTGCACGTGGGTGTTGGGAGGGAAGCTGGTGTGTGTGCGTGCGCATGCATGTGTGTATGTACGTGTGTGCATGCAGGTGCGTGTGTGCATGATTTTGTGTGTGTGTGTGTGTGTGTTGGGGGGCTGGTGATGGTCAGGGGGCTCTCCCGGTGGGGGTTTGAAAGCATGGTGAGCATCTCTCTGCCTATTGCGTTTGTTTCTGAGGCAAGTTGCTGCCATGTCACAGAGATGTCCATGTGAGGGCTGTGCACGCGGGTACACGCGCACGTGGGCATCTTCGTCTGTAAAGTAGTTCCACTCTCAGATATTCCCAGGCTCCTCCTATGCCCTGCCCACCTGAGCCCGAGTCCTGAAGCCCAAACGCTATCACTTTGGTCCCCATTGCCTGCTTGCTTTCCTTCCCAATGAAACGTGAGCTTTTGTCTTTGATGCATTCCCACGGCGCCCGCACCCCGACCTCCTTTCCTGTGGCCTGCGGTGCACATGTCCCCCCGGAACACACTGTTGGCTTTTTGTTTGCCTTTGCTTACTTGTTTATCATCATCCTCAACATTCTAATTACCGAGCATCCCCCGCATCCTACGCGTGTGAAGGCTCTCTGAGGCTGTGATGGTGTGTGTGTTTGTTTTGATATTTTCAATATGGGAGAAGCATGGAGAGAAGAAGGCAGAGAAGGCGTATTGTTAGCTCATTCATTCTGCTAAGGAAGTTGGACCACTGAAAATTCCCGTATTAGGCTGTGCTTGTGTTCAGACTCATATTCTATCCTCTGTGTACTACCATATATTTGGGCACTTCTGTAATTGTGTTGATAGTTTATGTGTAACTATTGGACCCCCATTTCATTCCTTAAACCATTCCAGGAGTTTCTGTGCATTGCGTCCTGGTAGTTGTGACCATGGCCATTCTTGATGGGTTTTTCCTGGCTCATGGCCAGTCTTTGATTGCGGCCAGGCCGCTGGTCAGGAACATCTTTCCTGAGTGAGGACACTGTTCCTTGGAAAAGTCCCAGGCCCTGTGGGTTGTGAGGTATGAATTACCTGGTTGATTTTAAGACCTTTCCCCCCACCTGTAGTTTTCATCATGGTCCAGAGGGACTTGCTTTCCCAAGATGCTGGGTAATGGGTTCATTGGTTTATACCAGCCGTGGGTAAACTACGGCCCGCGGGCTGGATTTGGCCCGTTTGAAATGAATAAAACTAAAAAAAAAAAAAAGACTGTACCCTTTTATGTAATGATGTTTACTTTGAATTTATATTAGTTCACACAAACACTCCATCCATGCTTTTGTTCCGGCCCTCCGGTCCAGTTTAAGAACCCACTGTGGCCCTCGAGTCAAAAAGTTTGCCCACCCCTGGTTTATACTCATCACGTAGCCCACACAACAGCAGGTCATTTCTATCTCATTTTCCATATGAGGGAACTGGGCGCCCAAAGAAGTTAAATCATAGACCCCAAGATCAAGCAAAAAGATATCTATGCCTTCAAGGAGATTGCTCTACTGGAGGGTCAGAGAAATGCCTTCCGTGGGGGACATTCTCCAGGGAAGCAGCCAGAGGGGAGGCGAACAGCGGATGGGCCCAGGGCTGGGAGTGTGCGGGTGAGGGTTTCCCGAAGGGGCAACCCACTGTCATGAACAAGAAGGAGTTAATCACATCCAAAGAGGGCTGTTCAGGGGAAGGCTCCCAGGGAAACCGGGCACACAAAGGCACGAAATAGTTCTTAGGCACCGCCTGCCACTTATAATCACCCAGGGAACGTGTTAAAGTGCCAGTTCCCGGGCTCCCCTCCAGATCCGCTGAATTACAAATCTGGAGTAAGTTTTTGTTTGTGTGTTGTTGATTGTTTGGGGGAGGGGAAAGGGGCAGGCAAAAATGGAACAGAATTCTATCATGATTTCTATTTTCCTCTGAAAGTGTTGTTGCTATTGAAGAGGCAATTTGGGTTAAGGACAGAAATATGAAAACTCAGGTTTCCAGGAGGATTCTTGATGGTGTGTGTGTGTGCATTTGTGTTCACATTTTGTTCCTGTTTGCTTCTGATTACTCATGTAGTTCATTCATTCATTCATTCATTTATTCTCCAAGTACGTACTAACCTACATGTGGGGTATTTATGGCATGGCACTGCTTTACCTAGTTCATTTAACTTTTAGGAAGCCAGAATATTCTTTTTTTTTTTTTTTTTTTAAGTAAGTAAATGATAAGGAACTCTTTCTTCTCAGGCCAGTGTTTCAGTGTACTTTTCAGATCATTTTATGTTAGGAATGGTTATACATTTTTACCCAACTATCTAACAACACTGCAAAAGTCATCTAATTAGAAAACACTCAATATTGCTTGATGAAAACAAATGAGATCATTGAGAGTCAAACAGGCATTTTTGGCCTGTTTTCTGTATTTACTTGGACTGAGAATCACCCTTTCATTTGGGGTTCTTTCATAAACAATAATGTATTTGTTATCCGACTATATGTTTGTTATTAGTGGATCATAAACAAATAAGGTGTGTTTCAAATATTTATAGGTCAGATTCCTTCTCCTTCATGTGGAGCATAAAATATTAATTGTCTGCAATACTTCGACGAAAGACATAAGAAAAGAGTCTTTCATTTGTCAACTGGGGTTTGTTTTCCACAGCCTTCTCTTGTCTTTGATTTCTGTGAGCTGGGGCTTGTTTTTCTGAGTGGTGATCCCATGGGCTGCATTTTTTAAAACAGTTTAACTTTCATATTTGATTTAAAAAATATCTTACGATGTCTCAGAAAATGAAAGGAAAGAGGTAAAATGTAAATATTTGCACACCAATTTCCAAAATTAGGACAGCCTTCCTCAGTTCTGATAAATAAGATTTAAGAGCCAAACATGCATGGAAAATTTTAAGGGGATTGGGCTCATTTATGTAGATCAAGGACTGACCTGTGTAACTGTGAATAATAGTTAAAGATTGAGCCTTATTAATTATCACTTGCTTTTCATACAGTACAAGGCCATGGATTAGGGGCCTCTTCTCAATGTTGCCTTGAGAATGACCTGGAACATGACCGTGTCTTTTAGAATATTACTATGTGGCTGTTTTTGAAGAGGTCCAGCCACTTATCATATACAGGAATGAGCATTAAAAAAAACACCAAAAAAACCCCCACACAGCTAAAAAAAGAAAATAACCACACTCTCCTTGTTGATGGAGTAAATTGACTTATTGTTTAAACTGTAGAAGATGGAAAGGCTGAGTTAGCCATGCATGTGTCCATCTGTTTGTTTTTAACCAAACTTCTTTTGGCAATTGCATCCATGCATTGCCCCAACAAAAGACTGTCACTTCCCTCCACTTCTGTGTTCCTTCCCCTTAGTCACAACCGAATTCTTAGTAGCATCGGTTGTATTTATGATGCCGTTTGCCCCGGTTTCACATCCCAAATAAGGAGCAACCTGGACTTGCTTAAGGTCCGCGCACTGTCATTCGTCTTCACTACACTGTGAATGAGACTCGGAGACTATTTGGATACACACAAACCCTGTCTTTAGACAGTCAGAGATACCGCTGTCTTCAGCCCTGTGGTGGTGATGGTTATCATTCTGCCTTAACAGATGGGGAAACAGATGTTGAGGGAGGTGGTCTTGTTTTCCAAGATCACACAGTTGTGAGAAGTTGCAGGGCCCCTGGTGCAGGAGGCTCATTCTTGCTGGTATCACACTGCCTGTGAGATAAGGAGGGAGGAGAGACCAAGGCAGTGAGGAGGGGTCTGGAGACAGAGGAGAGAGAGAGAGAGAGAGAGAGAGAGAGCGAGAACTGAGGTCAGTTTGCCTGCACCAGTCTGCCACAGCCTCCTGGGCGGACCACCGCGTCACAGGAAGGATGCGGATGGAAGCTGTGTGTGGAGGCAACTGAAGATGGCATGTGGCTTAGAGGCAGGGGATTTCTTACTAACTGACATTCTTTTGGGAAACCCTAACGTATTATTTTCCTCTTCAGTATCCAAGATGAGCTTGACTCCTCTGTGAGGATGTGTGTGCCTGATTTCCTAAAAGAGTTTTAATAGGCAATTCAAAGTATACAGAGGCATCGATAGTAAAACCAGGCTTCCTCCCTCTCTTGACCCCGGCCATCGGGCCCCCTTTCTTGGGAACAGCCACTTAGCAGGTTCCTGGGGACCCTCCAGAGCCAGGCTCTGCATGCGGTGAGCGTGGTTTTCCATTTCCCACAGCACAGAAGTCTCCACCAGTTTACTCCCAGCGGGGTTGTTGTTAATCCTCACCCGAGGACATTTTTCCATTGATTTTCGAGAGAGAGGAAGGGAGGGGGAGAGACAGAGAGAGACACAACATCAATTGGTTGCCTCCCAAACGTGCCCAACCAAGGCAGGGGATGGACGCTGCAACTGAGGTATGTGCCCGTGACTGGAATCAAACTCTAGATCCTTCAGTCTGCAGGCAGATGCTCTATCCACTGAGCCAACTGGGCTAGGGCTGCTCCCAGCTGTTTTAATGCAGAGGCTGACCTAGCACTTAAATCATCTTGGGAGAGTGTGTTGCTCTGAAGAACATTACCACCGTTGAGCTACCGTGGAATACTGACAGTGCTGTATTTTCCTCTATTTAGAGCTGAGGCGACTGATGTGTTTCTTGATGAAAATTGTTAGATGGTGGTATGCCTGTAAGTACATTGAACCGATAATTATTTGAACCTTTAGCAGTATGACTAATTTTGTCTACCCAGCCCCAGACATTTGAGTGGGGGTTGTTAATATATTTTTAAATCTGAGGGGGAAAAACACACACACAAAAAGTATGGGGGTTTCTTTTTCACTCTTCTCTAACTGAAAAAAGATGTCTAAGAAGCTATATTTCATAGTTTGGCTTTTCCATAATATATACCAGGCTATTTTGGCATTTAAATAA